AACTATCTTCGAATTTCCCAGAACCAGTTTGACGTCATTCACTGAAATGTCAAAATATCTATTCATAATGTAAACTAACTTTCCTGTCAAATGCCACAAATAATTATGAAAAGGACCTAAAGAAAAGTAATTCTTAAATCAATATTATAGCTCCTAGGTCAGACAAGAAACATACAAATCTCCGACAAAGCACAGAAATAAAGCAACTATTCAAAAGTTCTGAAGAACCTAAAACAGTAATTTAAACCGAAGCACAATGTGCACTTCAAAAAGTATCAGAAAAATTTCAATACAATAAAATTATGCTCAAATAATAAGTTTCCAAATCCAGTGTCTCATACACAGATCAATACACAAAATAATTAGATAAAGCCTTGGGCTCATCTATAAGCAATCTAAAGAGCTAATACGTTTACCATTAGCACCCACTGGATTTCAAAAAACGAAAACCCAATGTATTTTTGGAAAGGTTTGACAACATAGTCCAATAAGATCCAAAATAAATGGCAACCTAAAATTTTTTTTTTCTGAAGAAGGGTCTAGGCCCGAAACGTCAGCCTTCCTGCTCCTCTGATGCTGCTTGGCCTGCTGTGTTCATCCAGCTCTGCACCTTGTTATCTCAGATTCTCCAGCATCTGCAGTTCCTGCTATCTCGGCAACCTAAATATGGTTGTTTTCAGCCAGTCAATACAAAACTGGAGTATGGCAGAAACTTGCAAGGACTTGCTAACAGAAAAACATTTCTATCATTCTGATAATACATACATGACGAAGTGGTTAAATACTGCATGTTGTTCACCACAGATTCAGCATTGTTTAGGACCCTGAATGCCACATGGCATTTACCACGGATCAGGCCCAAACCAATAATCTGAACTTAACAAAATAAACATTTAGTCTAATACTAAACCAATCTGTAAGTCTGAATTTTCCTTGTCCCTGATGTCAGTACCACTGAAACAATTGCACCAACAAGGCTTAGAGCACAGCATTATTACATAAAGCAGATGGCACTATAAGATTGACAGTGCTGAGATTTACTTACGAATTACTCAGAGACAGAAATACTGGGTGAACGTTTATTAAGGTTTTTAATGGTTTATCTATACTCCATTGTGTTTCAGAGTACAAAATTTTGTAAACAAAAACTAAGATTAAATACATTTGAGCATCTTCATCACTCCTTAAATAAAGTATGTGTTATTTGGCTACTTGTGTATAAACTCAGGCTGTGAATTGAAAAGATTAAAAGAAAAAGTCCAAGATATATCCAATATCACAAAGAATATTCCTTGAGATATGCAATACTTTCTTGACCGCAACGGCAGAAACTAAACTCCAACCCAAAATTATGACTTTTAAGCACTGATACAGGACAGTGGCTTAGTAGTTAGCACTGCCGCCTCACAGTACCAGGAACTCGGGTTCAATTCATTGGGTGACTGTCTGTGTGGAATGTGCAAATTATCCCCATCACTGCATGGGTCTTCTCCAGGTACTCCAGTTTCCTCCCACAGTCCAAAGATGTGCAGGTATAGCAGATTGGCCATGCTAAATTGCCCATGCTAAATTGCCCACAGTGTGCAGGCTAGGTGGATTAGCCATGTGAAATGCCGGGTTACAGGAATAAGGTAGCGGGGTGGGTCTCGGTGGGATGGTCTCTTCAAGGGTTCAGTGTGGACTTGATGGGCCGAAAGACCTGACTCCACTATGATTCTGATAAAGTGAGGGAAAGTAGTAAATTTTGATAAGTACACAATATTGTCTTTTTTTTTAAAAATTTTACCAAAATATAAACACTTAAACAGAAGAAAGTGAAGAATGTCTCAATGTGAACATGGGATAAAAAATTTCACAGCATCACAAGAGATGCCTCACGAAGAGAAATTGAGGAGGTATCCAAACAGTACACGGCCAGCAATGATGTCAATTCTCATCCTAATAAATACTGGCTCCATCCTACAGTACTTACAGGAAGCTGAACAAAGACAATCATTAGCTCCTCAGCAGCTCAGAAAGCCTTCAGGCCATCTTCAAATCATTTCCAAATGAAGCAGCCATGATTCACAGAAATAATACAGTACTGGTAATCAATCTGAAGGCATGCCATAATGTGATGGATTTGTGAATTATCACTGTTGAAGTTTTTACGTAACACTTCATCAAGCAAATTTTAAGGTACTTACATTGTTGAAATCACAATTTCATCTAATGGCAAAGACAGGTGGTGTGGGTGTTGTTATCAGTCCAATAGAAGTTGATCTGCAGCACTTACAATTTCCCAAGAAGGATCTAATTAATTTGTAACCTAATTTAAAAACCATCTGGCCAGCAGTAAAGTTACATGGCTAATTTGTGTCATTATCCTCACCTATCAGCAAAAATTCACTTTGAAGATTAATTATAAGGTTACTTTAAGTGCCCTGAAGCATGTGGACAGTATGAATTTTAGACATTTTTACATTCTGTGAATAAAAACAATGCCTGTGAAAACAGTTGTAATGGCAGCATACAAGCAAACAATTAATTTATTTACAGTATTTGAGATCAAAGATATTTGTGCAGAAGATGAAAGGTAACTTGCTTCAAGTAAAGTACAGCTCACCAGAGGGAGTGTAATTATGAGTGCATTCCCCTGTGTCCAATTCTTAATTTTCCAGTGTCTTTTAGATTACTGAACACATTTAATTCAGCAAATGCCTGTACTTTGAGCACATTTATTGTAGTTAGCTTAGTAATTGTATTTCGAGGAGCTATGCTGATCATTAAGTTTTTATAACATAATAAAATGTATCACAACACAATTAATCCCCAAGATGTTGACTTTCATACGGTTTGCTGTATTCTTTCAATGAATTTGACAGCAGTTGAGCTTTATTGTAAAGTTTATTGTTTATGCAAGATAGAGCAAATCATTTCAGTTTATTCCAATCAGTGAAGATTCGATTGAAAAAACAAATTGCTTTCTGCAACTTTTGTTGAGGATGTAATACTTACATTTCGTGAACAAAAATACTACTACTGGAGAAACTGGATCACATCTGCAGTACTTGAAAAATTTCATTAGTTAACTACTTGTCCTTCAAAGGAACAATTTGAAAGGAACAGTTGACAGGATGAGGGAGTGTTCAAAAAGTAGCAAGAGAAAGTAAAAGAACTATAGTTAGTGGGGCTCCCGACTCTCAAGGAGCAGGTCACATGGAAGAACAAGGCAATTCAGACCTGTGAGCTTATTCCACTATTCAATGACTTAAGTGCTGATCTGTATCGCAATGCATTTACCTAATCTGGCTGCATATTTTTTGAGATTCAAGCCCAAAAAAAAATTCATCAAGAACAGTGTTGAAAATTTCAATTGGCACATTATGAAACTTTTTGGAGAATGAGTTATAAATTTCCACTATCCTCTAAGTCCAAGTGCTTACTGATTTCACTTCTCAATAACCTAATTCAAACTTTTATCAATACATCCTCTGGTTCTGGATTCACTCACTGACAAACAGTTTTACTGCACTACTCTGTCATGTTCATTAGTTATTCCAAATACTTGAATTACAGCACCATCTAATTTAGATCATCTAAACTCAAGGGAATACAAGCTAAGTTAATACAATTTAGTTATTTCTTTTCTCATCATCTATTGCTATCGCAGATTGCTGAAGTTGACTCAGCCTAGAAGACAATTCCATACTTTCAGTGCCAAGATTAACGATTAGACATGTCTCAACCAAAGGTCGATCAATCTTTAATTTAGTAAAATTAATGTTTCATGCTATACTCACATTATGAATTGGCCTCAATCTTCAGGCTCATTTTTTCACCTGTGTTTTTCAAATCCACAGCCTAGGGTAACATGGTAACACCATGTCATCCGCCCAAAACGTGAGCACAGATAGGATCTGAACCAGGACATGTACAACTTACAACTTGATATAAGGCTCAACATTCAAATGACCTAGTTTCTCTTACATATGAATGTAGATTTCCAAATGTTTGATTCCTCTATAGTACCTCAGCACAAGAGAAATATTTTGATTTGTTTTTCTCAGTTCACAGTGAACTAAAGGTTTCCTCACACCGATTTCCATATTTATCTTGCACATCACAAAGATGTGCAGGCTAGGTGGATTGGCCATACTAAATTGCCCATAGTGTTCAGGGATGTGTAGACTAGGTGGGTTATGGAGGGATGGGTTTGGGTGGGATGCTCCAAGGGCCTGTTTGGACTTGTTGGGATTCGAAGAAATTTTCTAAGAAGAAATCTAACAACATCATAGATAAACTTATCAGACATGAACGTGCTAGCATAAAAGATTTTGCAGGTTCTTCTCAGCCCTGCCTGAAGTAGGCATGTTTATCTTTGACGCTCTATCAGCTGCATAAGATCCACACTTGTGGCTGATGGCACTTGCACAAGAATGGCTCTTTCCTCAACAGCATAGTAACAATCTAATGAGTCCCAGTTGAATAAAACTGTAGAAGAGACAGAGTTAAAATACTAATTTTTTTTAAGACTTAAGGGTACTGTCCTTTTGCCCATTTAGATGAGTGTTCACGACTGAAATAGAGCTCCAAGAGTGATATGTTGCAATGAGGAGGTCAACGTTATCAATGGAAATTGACCGGCAGGAAATAATAGAAACTGCACAGATTATTGCAGTATAAAATAGTGAACCAGTGTTCTTCAAACTATCTCAAATGCTTTTTTTAAATCATATTGGCACATGAAAGGTAACTGAACTTACAGAAGTGGAAAGAACTAGCAGTAAGTTCTATTTTATGCTTAACACCTGATCTAACAGACCAACTGTTAGACCAACAAACTGTTGCTCAACACATTTAAATTCACTTAAAACAAACAAAATTACATCAGTGTACAATACTGTTGAATGAGCCATGATTATTGACTTTATCAAAGGTTCAAGTTTACACGCATTTTCTTTTTAAGCATTCTACTTTAGATACCAGGATCACAAAAGACATGGCAAAACCTACTGTACCTTTCATTTGCTTCATCATCACTCTGCAGAAGGTTATCATCTAGCTCTTCATCAGATTGATCAGACTGATTCTAAAGTGGGAAGAATGACAAACATCCAATGCAGTTAAATAAGACAGCAAGATCTTGTTAAATAATTCTGAATTACTTCATCTAAAATTTATAATCTTCAGCGTTTTCATTCACTACAGCACAATTTTCAACTCTCATCAATCGGATTTCAGCTATTTCGAAAACTTTCTGATGAACAAATTCAAGTTTGCACCATAGTAAAATAGCAACTCGGAGAACAGACACAAAAAACACCCTCAAACAAATTGGAAAAGGTCAGAAATCACAGGTTATAGTCCAACAGGCTTATTTGAAATCACAAACTTTGAGAGCTGCTCCCTCATCAGGTCTACTCCACCTAATGAAGGAGCAGTGCTTCGTAAGCTTGTGATTTCACATAAACCTGTTGGACTGTATAACCTGGTGTCGTGTGACTTCTGACTTTGTCCACCGGTCTAACACTCACACCTCCACATTAAACTGCAAAGAGCATTTAGAAGATTTGTGTTGTACACAACAACACTGATTTTTATGCACCCTCAAACGTCTGCCTTGTACTCCTAGATTTTAATTTCTAAACTAAGTACTTGAATTTGCCTTTAATTTCTTTATGAGCTGGTGATGGAATGCATTCTGTTGGTTATTGATAGCAGTGCAGATGTGTTTAGATAACAACTTTAGAACTGCAACAAAGTCAGCACGTAAGTGGGAACTTTGAAAGATAAACTATGATCATGAAAGATGGGCCTTCACCATTAAACTGCAAATCCAGGCCAATCCAGTCCAGTGTAAGCACTGAACGTTGCAGTGTAATTTCAAACTGCATTCCACTGTCAAGGGATTCATCACGTCATTCAAAGCTTCACAGTGGTTTCAAAACAGGAAATATAATTGGGCTCATAAACTGCATAAATCACCACTTCGCATCTGCAACAAATTCAAAAGCAATTTGATTTCAGTTGAGTCGGGAAAGTGTGATGGTCGTTATAGATGACAACCAAAAACTAGCTTTTGAACAAAAGGCATTATGTTACTTCTAAGTGACATAGAAACTGCACCATAATCTGTGGGATGAAATCACCTCCAGTATTATTCACTTGAGGTCAAAACTCATGTATTATGTACTGTTCATTTTAAAGTTGAATTTTATCAAATTTAGGTTTATTCTGCCATTCTGTACATTTACTGAAAGCTACACTAAGTTTGCACATCAATCCAATGCTTAAAAAGAAACTAGTGGTCCAAATATTAAATCTTTGCTGGTGTTGTGATCAAGTATGCAAGAAAGCTACAAAATGGACAGAACTAAGAACTCTAATCATTGATCTCTTAAAATCCGTTCCAGAATTGTTTTCAGTTCACCTTACCTTTTTGCTCAAACCCCAGTCATCACTAAGCAAGTCATCTTCAAGATCGCTGTTAGAAAGATAAAATAATTAATGCCTACCGTTTAATTGTTTGATGGCATGATAAATGTTTCAATATACAATATACAAAGACAATACTGCTGATTTACCATTTTGGTATCTGGATGGAAATAGTTTTGTTACCTGATACATTAGCAAGGCATCACTTATTAAGTGACTAATATTCTGAATTAAATAGTTTTGCAAAATGAAATCCTGTTTCAAAAAGAAAATCACTGAATTCTGGTGCATTAAATTGCAAGCTTACATGACCAGCTAACAAAGAATAGAACAAAAACATCACTCAAGTGCAAATTATCTACCCACTATTAAAAGCTTTTTTGCACAGCTGGGAATTAACTTACAAGGACTGTTTTGCATGCAGTTTAAAAAAATAGAATTACAGGCCAATTACCCAAACATCAAATGGTGGGGGAGGGGGAGGCGGAGGGAAATGTTGGACTCTGTTAGAAAAACTGATATAATACTTGGGAATTCTGAATGCAATCAGACAAATATAGCATGCCAGGGCGCAAGGTGGAAAGGAGGCCAAGTAAATAGTGTCTTTAGGTGAGGATGGATGAGAGCATTTGGGTCAGGCAGCATGGGAAAGGTAGGAAGAGGCAGCAGTTGGGATCTGAAGTGGGAAGAAGGGAAAGCAACAAATCCAGAGCAGGACAGCAGGCAGATCGGTTTCAGTGCATTGAAAATGAGTACTTAGTCTTAAGTTGTTAACTCAAAGTTGAATCCAGAAGGCTATAAGATGTCTGATTGGAAAATTAGGTGGTGTTCCTCCAGCTTGCATGGGGCTTTACTCCAACACTGTAGCAGTTCTAGGGCAGAGACATAAGCCTAAGAGTACGATGGTGTGTTGATATTGCAAGCATATGGAAGGCTGGACCTATGCTTGCAGACTGAGCAGAGATGATCTTCAAAAGAGTGATCCAGTCTGCACTTGGTCTCCCCAATGTTAAATCAAACTCAGTCAAATGTTAACTTGATGTCAAGGGCAGCCACTCTCACCTCAATTCTGAAGTTCAGCCTTTTTGTCCATGTTTGGATGAAGGCTGCAATGAGGTCAGGAGGGGAATGACATTGGCAGAAACCAAACTGAGTTTCAGTGAGTAAAAACCAAAAGAACTGCAGATGCTGTAAATCAGGAACAAAAACAAAGTTGCTGGAAAAGCTCAGCAGGTCTGGCAGCATCTGTGAAGGAGAAAACAGAGTTAACGTTTCGGGTCCGGTGACCCTTCCTCAGA